ATATGTTATAATAATTTCTATATATATATAATATATTTTATGTGTTATAATGCAGTTTAATCTCGCGTTCGCAGAAGAAAAGTTCTTTATGAGGAACATCAACTCGGGAAGTAACTAATTAAAACCTTCATAGTTAAACGATGATCGCATTCGCTCGCGGAACAATTAATAAATCCGAATCTATCATGTTATGATCTATTCGTTTCACTTCCTTCTACATACTATTTTTTTGCGCGATTCTTATAACTAAGTGTAGCTTAACTTTGTAAAACTTAAGTACATAATAGATCAATTTTTGCTTTAGCGTATATACTTTTTCGAAACTATTATTTGTACGAGTGCTCCTTTTCAAATCATATTTTCAAAGTTACACAGATTTTCAAGAAGAATTACAGAAATACCTTCGATTTTTTTAAAAATCGTACACCTCATCGAGTAACTTGTTTTAAATTCCTCGACTTTATTAAATAATGAAATCACGCGTAGCCCACTGTATGGGTCAATGAATCATTTTATCAATCGTTTTATTACAAATTTCGTTGTTGACATATAAATCAGTGGCGGTAACACTCAATTTATACCTCTTTAATTTAGACTGCTATTGAACGATCCACAGAGTTCAGTTTCTCAAAAAGAACTATCAAACGTGAATTTCTATGAATATATCAATAATCACAAAGCTAGTTATAGTATTAGCAAAACAATTACGATAATTATTCAAAAGCAGACGACGATTCACGCTAGGAAACCCGAACAGAGTGAATCGTATGTTGACAGTCCGAGAAATTTCAAAGGAATGGTCATGGAAATGTTGCATACGAAATACTTGCGATTACGTTCGGTGACTTAAGACATAAAAATAACGGAACGGGAAAGGTTATAGAATTTCCACCGTTCTAGTTCATACGAAAATGTGTCCGATGACGAAACGGTCCCCACCCTGTCGCGGTGTCCCGTTGCACCACGTGTTATCCGAATCAGTGTCAATAGAAGAGACGCGGAATTGTCATTAAAACACACATGCGTGGAATGCGCGCAAGCCGGTGCATCGGCGTCTATGAAAAAGAAGAGCGGGGAGACATTAGAATTAGAGAGTAGGGATCGTACCAGAAGAAGAGTAAATCACTTGGGATGGGTGACTGCACCGAGAAGACGGCTATTGCATCCGGATAGTTCGGCGGCGATAAACACGACGATCTTTTAGATCAGGTTTAGAGATTAGGTCTCGCAAGTCCGTGTCGCTTCTACGTTGAAGCACATTCGGGAAAATTCACTGTGAGGACCATGATATGACGAGGAGAAGATAGCATGCGGTGGTACCACGTGAAGAAGCAATGGAGAACACCGCGACTGTCTCGCACCATCACCTCCGTTTCTTCGGTGCTGTGCTTGCTGTTGAGCTTAGGGTTGCATCCGTTCGTAGCTGGTATCACTTTGCTAGACATGGGTAAGTATTATTTTGTAACACCATCATCCCCTCACCTTATCGTCACCTTCCTCAAGATTCCGATCTATCGCATGAACTTTGCCAATTGATATAAATGCAACTATCGCATTTTATGTTGATGACATGCACGAACGCGAGCGTTGAAATCATTGTGCAGGTCGTACAATAAAAGTCGTTGCTAGTGAATGTCTTTTTAAGTGATCTCTATTACGTTAATTGAACCCGTAGCATGCAAAACTGCGTGTTCCACTCTAGAAAAGAGGACTTCTTAATGGAACTGGTTTAAGTGTTCGGCGTAACGCGATGAGTTACGTATTTCGAGTTCAGGGGTTATTAGGTTTTCAGTTCTTTATGTTCCCATTGCCGCCTCAACATTATCGCACTTTTTTCATCTTCATAGACTTTCAGGAAACAATGATTCGCTGCTGTTATGAGAGTCTTCTAGACATTTTTTTTTTCGAGAGACGAAATACTGTTTGCAACTGAAACAGATGTGCCGGGTGTTTGTATTATTTTATTAAATGAATAACGATAAAAAGAGTAACGATTTTGATTTTAAGAAAATTATGACATTTAACGCTAGAAGTACCAGACCCGTTAATATGATAGATCTCTGATTTTTGTTAGGAAATTGCTTTTACATGAAACTTCTTGATATACTTCTTTATTCAAGCATATGTTATAATAGAAATCATACGGAGTTTGAATAAATGCCATTGTTATGAAACAATGTACATTTGTGGCATTTAGGGCTCAGTGGCTCTAGTGTTAAAGAAGAATACTACGTCGTTGAACGATTTCAATGATTTCAACGGTTCATTTAGTTTCATTTTAAAGAATATCAAACGTGACTTTTTTTCTTCAATGGTTTCAGAAAGAAACGTTGTAGACTTGGTAGAAAAAACTGGTATGCGACAGAAACCACAAGGAGTAACAGCAATCGAAAGTCGTTGTCACAGAAACGACACGGTTGCGTACGAAATCAAGAGCAGCACGTTGTTGATGAACAATACGAATGATCTGTTCCATAACGGCATATCTCGTGATTTTTCCATCTTAGTCGTTGCCAAACCAGAAATCGGTTTGTAATCACTTTGATCAACTTAAACTATTTTATTTAACAGAACTGCTAAATGTCTTTGTCTTGTGCCTTCTTTGTTAGATAAGTTAATATATAAAATTTTGTATTTCGAAATCGCGTTGCACGTAAAATTTGCATTTAATTCTACCGTAGAGACTCCCTTGTCCGAAGGTTTATTTTTGTAATATTCTGATAGCAAAACGTTCTATTAACTAAAAATTTCATTCAAGTTTTTTACTAGTCGATAATGTACCTGAATAATACAATGATATTATTATATATACAATTATATTTGGATATCAGAATATCGTAAAAATAAATGTTCGGGTAAGGGTGTCTCTACCATATATGAGAATTTAATCTTTTTAAACTTTTTCTCTTCTTTCAATATGTTTTCTCAATCCTTTCTTTCCAATAAGTAATTTTTTACTTCCACAGAGTTATGTTTTCACATAAAGTTTATTTTTCATACTAAAGATACAAATCGGAAATTAAAATCACGCTTTATGGAAATTATGAATTTGGTTATTATCTTTTATATTATTTTTTAATTATCTTACTATACAAAATAAATTAGGATATCCGGCTGCCACGTTGTTTGCCATCTACAGTGACAATGTCGAAGAACAGTTGATGTTGTCATTGGGCAGTGACATCACCCTTTATTACAACACAACCCCGGACGACAAGAGCGAACCGATTTCATTTGGAATTGATATCTCCGACGGGAAGTGGCATCGTTTAGGAGTCAGTATCAAAGGGGATGCCGTCACGTTGATCGTTGATTGTAATCAACAAATTACGAAAGAATTACGTAGGAATACGAAGGAGACGATCACCACCAGTGGCATCACAATGATCGGCCAACAAATTGTCGACACCGACGTATACGTGGTTCGTGAACAGAAATCGAATAAACGAATAGTGACCACGCGACCAATTTACCAATCGCCGTTAATACTGTTAACAGGGTGGTATAGAGTTGTTGAAGATCGCCCCAATTCCAGACGCAGCTTACGAAATTTGTACGCTTTTCGCGCCGGATTGCAGGAATCAGTCGAGATACTCGTTAGGACAAAGTAATTACACGAGCGATCAAACTTATGGCTATGCGCCTACAACTTCGTCCAGTTATCATGATCGGTCAGCAACTACTGGTATCAATCAGGGAGCACGAAATTATGGCTTATCCGGTGGAACATCTTCGACCGACAGATCGTATTATGGGACGAACTACAACAATAACCCCAACTTCTATAAAAACTATGGCAGAACGTACACTACGATATCTGGTTCGAATAATTTTCTCTATAATCAAAATAACACCTCCGGGAATAGGACAGACGGATCTTACACGGAGGCAAATGAAGAAAACAGTCGAGAAGCATCGATCGATGACGACTCGGGATCAATTACTGAAACTTATCTAGAGAAGCAATACCTTGTAAGTCATTTATTTCATCTATCTTAATTCAAGACCTTTCTGGGAAATGGGTTGATAAGACAAAATGTCGAATTGAGCAAATCGCGTCAGAAGTTTTCGTTTTCGTTTTGTCAATATACAGGGTGTCCCAGGTTTTAATGTTCAAACTTTGTCAGTGTATTCTATGACATAAAGTAAGAAAAAAATGTTATGTAAACATAGGTCATATAGAGCTTTATTAAGAAGTTATAACAAAAATTCAGAATAGGAATGGTAATCAACTTGCTGTTACTGCGAGCATTGGCATGACTATTCAAGCCAATTTTCTATATCAGCACATGCCGTGTGTTTATGTAAGCTGTGTTTATTAACACATTTCGAAATGCCTACTGTTGTTGACAATACATGATTAACATCGACCGAAGATTTTTTGTATTTTTTTATTTTTTTTTTTAGTTGATTACTATTCCTATTCTGAATTTTTGTTATAATTTCTTAATAAAGCTCTGTATGACCTATGTTTACATAACATTTTTTTCTTACTTTATGTCATAGAATACACTGACAAAGTTTGAACATTAAAACCTGGGACACCCTGTATGTATAACTATGATTAAGTTGTTAACTAAGTGGCGCATAATGAAATTTGTTGATCTTTTAAAGTGTTCGGTATAGATTTGTAACACACACTAATACCATTTTGAAAATAAACTAACATATTTTAACAGTTCTATGGGCCCTTATTCCATAAATCGAGGAAAAAGGAGCAATTAAATAATAAATTTGCTAGAAATATGCAACGTATGCACACAAGAAATATATTTATAACTACACACACACACACATATTTCCAAAAAGTCATACATCTTATATTATTTGAGGTGTTTGAGAAAAATAGAAAATATTACTTTTAACAAGTTTTACCACTTTGAATATTTAATCTTTTATTATGGTTCATTACTTTCTTTAAACATTCTGTCTAACCATTGGCAGTTTTCATCATCTAAATATTTGTATAAGTCGCGAACATCTTCTTCTTTCGCTTCTTTTACTCGCAAAAAATCCACAGAATAAAGTTTAATGTTTTTCAGCTGTTTTACACCGTACCAATTTTTCCATAAATTGAACGTTGTAGATGTACCAGAATATGATGTGAAGCATGCGAATTTCTTCTTTCTTACCATAACTCCACTGCTTCTAATATATTCTTCACCATTCGTTTTTCTCCTTTTAACTTCTTCTTTCGTCAAACTATTATTACATATTTTTCTGTCTTTTCTTACGTTCAACTTCATTTCACTTTCTTCAGTTCACAAAATATTAACTCAAAAATTACTTATCAAAAATTGCTTATTACAATAAGCAAATACCGTAAATAAGAGAATTTCATCATCGCGGACTGAAACAAAAACCGGACGTGTGAAGCTACGCAGGCTCCGAGTTACGCAACAGGGATCAAGTAAACAAAAAGCACTGCAGTTATCTCAATTGTTGGAACATTGGCATAAAATTTTAGGGGAACATTTTTAAACATTTGACAGTTAGTTGGGAACGATTTACCGAAAAGTGGCCCATAGACTTATGGGCCCTTTTTCCAGAAAGCTCCTCAATTATTGGGTTGGCAACTAAGTAATTGCCGATTTGTTCGATGAAATAAAAAATTCTTTTTACTTGGAATGAAGTTTAATCTGTAATGTATTTTCCATTTTGTTCGATGACCTTTTGCCATCTCTCTGACAACTTGAAAATTCCAAGCTCGTAGAAAGTCTGATCCTTTTCGGCCAAAAACTGAGTTAAGTGAGATTTTACAGTGTCATCATCATTAAAAGTTTTACCACAAAGGGAGTTGTCCAGGGGTCGAAATAAGTGGTAATCCAATGGCGCGAGATCAGGGCTATGTGGTGGGTGTAACATCAATTTCCAATCAATATCCATCAATTTTGGAAAATGACACCTTTACGATTGACCAATTCTGGTCGCTTTTCCTTGACCGCTACATTCAATTTGTCCAGTTACTAACATTCACGGATAATAAAAAATAACATAATAATAATAATAATAATAATTTTATAATATAACATTTACGGATATCATAAAAATGGGAGTGAGAGACATCTATAACTGAAATCGGCAATTACTTAGTTGCCAACCCAATATATTAAATTATGTCGATATAAAGGACGTTCAAGGTTTACAAGTTGTACCTAAACATTCAATTTTATAGATTGACAGTACTGGATCAACTGTGACCGAGGACTACGAGAGAACAATCCCAGAGAACCCCGAGAATTCTGAAAATTCGGTCGGTAGGAGCCCAGGAATGCAAACATACCCGGAAACTGCCGAGTCGACGTATTATGGTCTCAGCTACTATAATACTCGAGGCGCGCCAGGGCCGCGCGGATTTCCAGGACCTCCGGGCGTATCTGGAGGACCTGGTAAGAAAGGGGAAGCAGGGAGAGACGGGATAGCAGGTTTGCAGGGTGCACCGGGCCCGCCTGGCAACGTCTTCGTCATACCATCGTTGAGCCAGCAGGGCAACGAGAAAGGCCCAGATTCGCAAGCGGAGGCTCTGAGGCAAATGCTGTCGCAGCATTTGGCTGCTATGAGAGGAGCCGAGGGACCGACAGGATTAACGGGTTTGCCAGGTCCCGAAGGACCTCCAGGACCTCAAGGTCAGAAAGGAGAACCTGGCGAAGTCGGCGAAGCTGGACCACGTGGCGAAAGAGGTGCACATATCGTGAAACTTCTGTTTCTTCTCGAGATAAACGATCAAATTCTGACATTTTTGTAGGAGTACCTGGAACGCCTGGTAGAGAGGGTAGAAGGGGTCGACCTGGAAGGGATGGCGAAAGAGGTGTAAGTGGACCACCAGGAATAAAAGGCGAACAGGGTACTCCTGGTCTTCCAGGATTACCTGGCGATAAGGGCGAAAGAGGACCTCCGGGTTCTAGCGGCGAACCTGGCCTACCAGGTCACGAAGGGATGCAAGGCGATGATGGCCCTCCTGGCCTACTTGGCTTACCTGGCGAGATGGTAACGAAAATACTGTGCAAATCTAGTTTATAGTTATATTTAAACAGTAATAAAATCTCATGTCTTTCGAGATTATTTCAGGGTCCTAGAGGATTCATAGGACCTCGAGGATTCCCAGGATTGCCGGGTAATCCTGGAATTCCTGGGAGCGAAGGTCCGTCTGGAGCAAAAGGCAACACCGGCCCACAGGGTGCACCAGGAGCTCCAGGACCATTGGGGCCATTAGGACCTGTCGGGCCACCTGGACCGCAAGGTCATCTAGGACCAACTGGATTGGTTGTAAGTTTCGTCGAGGATTATAGTTAGGCGAAAGAAGACATTATTGTTCGATGTTTGGATGTATTTCGATGTTACAGGGACCACAAGGGAAGCCAGGAATCCCTGGTCTTTCAGGGGCAGACGGGCCACCTGGTCATCCGGGGAATCCAGGAATTCCTGGAATGAAAGGTGAACAAGGACCGCAAGGACCACAAGGTGCAATAGGTTTCCCCGGGGTTCGCGGCGTGAAAGGTGACGAAGGCAAGCGCGGAGCTGCTGGCGAGCGTGGAGAGAAAGGCGACAGAGGAGCAGACGGAGAGAAGGGTGATGCAGGAGCAAAAGGAGAGCAGGGGTCGACCGGGCCACATGGAATTCCTGGGTTGGAAGGCTTGGAAGGTCTGAAAGGCTTCGAAGGTCCACGGGGTGAAGCGGGATCAGTTGGTCCACCCGGCGAGAAAGGCAAACCTGGTTCCCCAGGGTTCATTGGATATCCTGGAAATGTTGGTGAGAAAGGTGACAAAGGTCAACCGGGGAGGCCGGGCCCTAGTGGGGACAAAGGAGAAAGGGTAAAAACAGCAGAAATCGTGTACTTTAACGAAAGTAGTAATTGAATAAAGAGTTCAGTGCAGAATTGTTGCATTTTAGGGGAATAACGGTGCGTTAGGAGAACGTGGCGAAGCTGGACCTAGAGTAAGTCAAGAGAATATACAAAATGACATACGTTGATCAAAATTTGTTTCCTTTGTATGAAGGGTTTTAGGGGTGTCCGTGGAAGACGAGGAGCAGAAGGCTTGCCTGGCCCAAAAGGCGATACTGGACAGCCAGGTCCTCCAGGATTGCAAGGAGAATCTGGCCAACCTGGAGTCGAGGGTCCACGTGGCTTCGTAGGGCCTCAAGGTCAAGCTGGTTTCGACGGGAAAGATGGGATTCCTGGCCCATCTGGCGAACGCGGACCAGTTGGTGATTCAGGACCACCAGGATCACCAGGAGCACCAGGGGTCATAGGACCACAAGGTCCAGCTGGTGAACCTGGTCAGCCAGGGGAGCCTGGGAGTCCTGGAAGTCCTGGTGTTCCTGGAGAAACCGGTCCTCCAGGAGAACAAGGAAAGGAAGGACCACCTGGGCCATCGGGTTTGCCCGGTAAAGAGGGCCCCCCTGGTCCTGGTGGATTACCAGGATTTCCTGGTGAACGGGGACAGAATGGTCTACCGGTTTGTCCTACAGGAATATACTTAAACTGTTATTTTCAAGAAAGGTGAACAATAAATATTTTCTAAACATTTTTTAAATACAGGGAATGCCGGGTGCAAAGGGGGAACTGGGACTATCAGGATTTCAAGGCCCACCGGGCGATAAAGGCGCCCAAGGAGAACCTGGAAAAGATGGTAGTACTGGACCTCAAGGTACTCTGGGCCCGAAGGGACCACCGGGGCCCGCTGGCCTGAAAGGAGAAAGGGTATTGATTACGACATATAAACGGCAATTATGTGCATAAAATAAATGAAAGGAAACTATGTTGAAACGTATTTTGATGCTAGGGTGAATCAGGTCCACCAGGACCTACCGGGCGTGATGGTTTACCAGGACAACGAGGATTACCTGGTCCTCCAGGTCCTGTTGGTGTCCCTGGAGAAGACGGTGACAAGGGAGATATTGGCCCACCTGGTGAGAAGGGTTTTAAGGGATCTCAAGGAGAAATGGTACAAAAAGAAAGACTTTTTAATAGCTGTTAATGAAAAATATGTTGATGTATTTTGTACACCATTGCAATCCTTCCACAGGGCCCACCCGGACCGCCTGGACCACAAGGAATACGAGGTGAACCTGGATCGATCGGTTCACCTGGTGAAAAGGGACCACCGGGAGAGCTTGGCAGACAAGGCCCGAAAGGTGAAGATGGTCCTGTTGGCGCACCAGGTACACCTGGTCCAGTGGGACTACAAGGACTGCCTGGGCCAGCTGGATTAAAAGGGGAAGTTGGGGATACTGGTGTAGCCGGTTCTGCTGGGCCAACTGGAATCCCGGGGGAACAAGGTCCAAGAGGATCCAGAGGCTCTGAAGGTCCTCAAGGTCCTCCGGGACCGGAAGGTCGACAAGGAGAGAAAGGAGAAAGCGGTCTGCCAGGATTGCCAGGTGCAATAGGGCCAGAAGGAAAACCGGTAAAGTTATGATTGAGTATTTTTCAAATGTTTTTTAGGAAAGAGAATTGACATTTTAAAATTTGCATCGTAGGGTGAGAGAGGTCCTGCGGGACCTAAAGGAGAAGAAGGAAAAAGTGGACCGCCAGGACCTCCGGGTATACGTGGAATAAGCGGTCCAGAGGGGCCGAAAGGTCACGTGGGCCCAATTGGTTTTCCTGGACCTCCTGGAGAGCCTGGGTTAGTTGGCCCAAAAGGGGATCCCGGTAAATACGGTGAAGATGGTAAACCTGGTGATGCAGGACTACCAGGAGAAATTGGACCTCCAGGGAAAGAAGGGTTGCCAGGGCCACCCGGGAAACCGGTACGAAGTAATTGTATAATCTTCAATCTTTAACCTTTTGAGCTCTGAATATTCCTGGCCGAAACGGTTCGTAGGGACGGAACGCGGCTATCGCTGACCATCGCTGGGGGCGGAATACTTTTTTGCCACACTGAAGTGACTATTCAAGGCGCAAACAGTAATAAATTATAGTGATTCTTTTGCAGGAGGTTAAATAATTAATCTTCTGATTCAATGTCTGATGATAGTGATTCACTATATTCTATTTCACTGTCGTCCCTTGTGAAATATTCCTCAAGATTTGACATTTTGTAGGGTGTCACGAATAAAAAAAAAAGTCGAACAAGTTATATTCCGCACTATCGTTGTTGACGCGAGCGAGACCGTGAGGTTATGCTGACTGAGTCGTTTTGAGTGCTTTGAGTCGCGAGAAGGTGACAGTGCAGGTAATTATTTTGAAATCTAATTGGTTAGAGAGTGGGACATAAAATGGGATTTCCGTTTCGGAAATTCCCGGGGATTTTTATGACCCTAATATTGCCCAATCGCTACCTAAGGAAGGCAAATTACTAACGAGTGCCCCTGTATTAATTTTACACGAAAATAACTGCATATTGAT